AGGGGCAGGTGTAGCACTTCCTGCGGTTGCAGGGAATGGTGCCGGGGCTAGTAAGGAATGTGGAGTGGACGAGGGAGTCGGAGAGAGCGTGGTCCCTACAAAAGGCAGATAGGGGTGTGGAGTGAAATACATCTTTGGTTGTGGGGTCGGATTGTAGGTGGCAGAGAATGATACGTTGGGTTCGGAGGTTGGTGGGGTGATATGTGAGGACAAGGGGGATTCTGTCTTTTTTTTGTTGGGGAAACGGATGTGAGGGCAGAAGTGCAGGAAACATGAGATGCGGTTAAGGGCATTTTCACCTTCCGAAGGGGGGTTGTTGCGGTCCTTGAAATAGGAAGATATCTGGGATGTGGGGGAGTGGGACGCCCCATCTTGAGACCAGATGCGACGGAGGCAGAGGAATTGGGAGTAGAGGATAACTCAGTTCTTACAGGAAGGTAGGTGAGAGGAGGTAGTCCAGGTCGCCGTGGGAGTCGGTGGGCTTGAAATAGATGCCGATTTTGAGGCAGTCATCAGAGATGACGATAGAGAGGTCCAGGAAGGAGATGGCGGTATCAGACATGGTCCAAGTGAGGTCCAGGACAAGGCACATTCTCTCTTGTCTGAGGACAACGTCAGGATGTCAGAAATAGGAGCAGGAAGAATACTTTCAACCCCTCAAACCTGACCCACCATTCAACCATATCAGAGCTAATCTGCTCCAGGCCTTAATTCCTCTTTTCTCTGACATTCTTATATTATTAAAGTTGGATTTCTGCTTTTCAAAATTCTGTCTACCACCTTTCAAAACTTGTAGTGACTTCACCTCGACAACCATCCACCTAGAAGAACAAGGGCATCAGACATATGGGAACACCACCATCTCCAAGTTCCCCTCCAAGTCACTCACCATCCTGACTTGGAAATATATCACCGTTCCTTCATTGTCGCTGGGTCAAAATCCTGGAATTCCCTCCCTAATAGCATTGTGGGTCAATTCACAGCAGGAGGACTGCAGCGGTTCAAAAAGGCAGCTCACCGCCACCTTCTCAAGGGCAACTAGGGATGGTCAGGAAATGCTGGCCTGCCAGCGACGCCCACATCCCAGAAATGAATAAAAAATTCTGTCTGGTGCAAGAATTCAAGATATTCTCTACTCCCAGGGAAGAAATCCTTCACATCCCACTGAGTGCCACTCTATTCTGGAAATGTGTTGCTAGTGCAATATCCGTCCACTTGGGGAAAGATCTTCTTAACATCTACCCTGTCAAGCCCCGTCAAAATCTTACCTGTATCAACAAGATCATCCCTCATTCTTCTAAACTGTAATGAACAAACTTCTAACCTGTTTAGCCGTTCTTAATCTTCATTGCAGGAATCAGCCTCTTGAATCTCTTTTGAACAATCATTATATCCTTTACAAATAAGGGGTGAAAAACAGTATACTGTACCCACGCAGACTCACAAAAAAAGCATACTGTTGTAACAAGACCTCTATTTTTAAACTACAACTTAGTAATGAATGGCAAAATTCCATTTGACTTATTAATTATTTGCTGCACTTGTCTGCTAACCGTTTCTTTTCTTTCATGCGCAAGAACACCCAGCTTGCTCTCCATTGCAGTCTTTTTTTTTGGAGTTTCTCTTGAATTTAATAATAGTCTGCCTTTTGACTTTTCCTACCAAAGTGCATAACCTCACACTCCTGACATTAAACTGCATCCGCTTAGTTTTGCCAACTCACTCAAACTATATATTTTCCTTTGCAAATTCCATGTCCTCATCCCAACATGCCCATCCCCCCAACCTAATTGGTATTGTCAGCAAAATTTAACACATTACACTCTGCTAGTTCCTCCAAGTCATTAATACTGAGATAAATAATTGAGGTACTATGACTGATCTTTCCGGCTCTCCTCTAATTACAACTTTCCAACTTTAACCGATGACGAACATTTGAAGACTCTGCGTCTACACTTGATGGAGTTTAAAAGGATGAGGGGGGTTCTAATTGAAACTTACAAAGCACTGAAAGGCCTCGATAGAGTGAATGCTGGGAAGAGGTTTTCATTAGCAGGAGAGACAAGGACCCAAGGGCATAGCCTTAGAATGAAGGGAAAACCCTTTGGAACAGAGATGAGGAGAAACTTCTTCAGCCAGAGAGTGGTGAATCTATGGAATTCATTGCCGTGGAGGCCAGGTCTTTGAGTATTTTTAAGACAGAGATAGGTAGGTTCTTGATTGTTAAGGAGCTCAAAGATCACAGGGAAAAGGCAGGCGAAAGGAGTTGAGAAACCAGGTTAGTTATGCATTTCAGTAATATAACACTGGCAGAAATTATCAACTTCATCTGTGGAATCAGTATATTTATCAAAATCTCTCTCTCTCTGTCTCTGTCTCTTATTAGATTGCAACAGTCAACTTTACAACTTTAAAAAGGACTTCAAGAGCTGTAATGCTCCTTCCATTGCCCGGAGGTGGTGAAAGGCTCTGCTTAGATATTCACCTTTCTGTCAGTTAACAGCCATATCGAATGGAGAATTAGTCCTTTCAGTGTCTACCTCGGTATTTGTCTCTATTTGTCTCTCTCGGCGTATCCACCTCACCCTCGTTCACTCTCTCAGTCTCTGTCTGTCCATCTCTCTCATTTCCCATTTTCGCTCTTTGTAAAATCTGAAATTCAGAGACAGTTTGATAGTGGAGCTGGTGAGAGGCTTTTCCCCCTGGCTGGAGTGTCTAGAACTGGACTCACATTCTCCAGATAATATGTCTGTCACTTAGGCCTGATGTGACGAGACATTTCTTGCCTCAAAACATTGTGAATCTTTAGAATACTGAATAGAATTTCTATTTCATCATAAAAATAAACAATTCCACCACAATTACAGGATTTATAGTGATGCCTTTACTGTTGGTGTAAAACTAATGAATGGTCACAGCAGAGAAAGAAGTTAATTAGCTTGTGATATCTGTGCCATTACCACAACACTCTCTGGTCACTCGGCAGTTTATCCTGCCTCTCCTCATTATTCCTACCAAATTGGGAATGAAGAAATGAGAATAAAAGAAGAAGAGAAGCAGAAGTGTTTGTGGAACAGAGGAAAGAAACTCCAAGATCAGTTCATTATTCACAAAATAGCAAGAAGGAACATTTTTCGATGGGGCCAAAGTGGGAGCTCTAAATATTAACACCCTTAGTTCAATCATATGAAGCTTGTTCGGTCAACAGTTGTCTTAGGCTGGATAAACAACATCACATTTGAGAGAAGATTAAACAAGGAATCCCTAATGAAAAGGGCAGGAACCGTTGGGAATTGAACCCAGGTTCCGAACTGAAACATCAACTTTCCTGCTTCTCTGATGCTGCCTGGCCTGCTGTGTTCCTCCAGCTTTACGCTGTGTTATCCCAGGATCTCCTGTTTGCTAGGTAGGTGCTTTGACCAACTAAGCCACAGCACCATATAGCCACAAGCTGCAGAGCTGTAGTGAAGGGGCAGTACCAATAAAGGGGTCTGATTCCAGATCCCAAGCTGGAAATGACCAAAGTTTCTCACTGAATTTGTTCAGGGTCTTGACTTGAAGGGATCATGGCTCAAAGTATGAAAGTACATTTCACTGGAGTGGGTGATAAAATAGCGCAGTGACTGAATAAGTTCCAACAGAAAAAGAGACAATACTGAAGCAGCAACCT